GTCCTCCACAACTAGACTGAAGAACAAAAGGACAGCAACTTGTCTGTTCCCCTTCCCCCAATTCCCCAATAAAATCTTTAAAAAAAAAAAGAGGTGTTGATAACACTTTGGTACCCAAAGAGAAACAGTTAACCTTTCATCATTTCAAGTTCAAAATAAAAGATAAAAATAACACACATATATAATATATCTACCAAAATGCTTTAATGTTTATAGTATGTAAAAATGCTTATGAAATTTATAAAGATACAAAAGTGAATAGACAGTATGACATAATATAAACTTACAGAAACTATATTAAAAAAGGACTGCAAGGAGACACAAAAATATTTATAGCTATTGTCCTTGGAAGGTCAGACTATGGGCTATATATTTTACTACATATTTATTTTCCAAAAACGAGTGGAAAACCTTTAATATGTATGCTGTAAGTGTCATTAAGCTTTGGAATGTGTTTTTTACTTCCATCTCAATTATTGATGGGGTGGGGATATTGTAGGGAACCTGGTCTGCGAGCCAGGTAACCAGGCCTCTACTTTTGATTTTGCCACTAATTAGCTCTGTGATTTTGGTCACATCATCTATCTTCACTAAGTCCTAGTTTCATTGTTTGTAAAATGAAGAGCCCTGGACAATGTGATCTCTTCAAGCTCTAACAAGTGTTTGGGGAGGGAAGTGAGAAAATAATGATGCAGTTATATTTATTCTGTTCATATGTTCAAAGTGAGGAGCTATTAAAACTCTATAAATATCAAGTGGTATAATGAGCATAATAAAAATTTAACTATGACTTTACTAACAATCTTTATGGAAACTGTAATAGATGCCTCCAGTCATTTAATGAACTGGGATTTTTCATAAAGCCCATCCATCTTTCTCAGAACGCTTATATTACCTAAAGAATGGCCATTACACATAATAACCATACTTAAAATTTAGGGCTAAAAAAATTTAAAGTACTACCTTGTTATTTTTATAAGGGAATTGGAAAAAATCATATTCCACTTAGGAGAGTGCACATTAAGTCTGAATGTGGATAAGACACAGACCGAAAGGGAACACTTAACCCTTTAGTTTTAGGTCATTAGAACAAATCTTCAGGCTATTTGACAGAGCTCTTAGAATACTGGCCCAGGATTTTTTCAGGCCACGGTGGCTAACTGACAAGGTATTTAGTATCCCAAGTCACGCTATAAAGAAGGCACAAGGCTATTCTGAAACTTGTTATGCCAACTGCTTGTAAAATGCACTGCTGCCCCAGGTTATCACAAAGCTTCTCTCTGCTCGTCTCATTATATTCACTAAGTATTTAATATTTAAAACACAACATTTCTTCCACTAAGCAGCCTTATAATTCAAAGCAGTTTATAGAAACTGTAGAAAATATATTATGTTGGAACCCCAAGTCCTAGGATCACAAAGAGACTATTGTTTATCAAACATTTCCACAAGCTGCTTCTTGTCCTCTCTCGCAGTTGACTACACCTAGTGAGAACTCACCTTGTCTTTGCAGGGCCTTTGGCAGTTCTGTGCTGCACACACAGCATTCTCATCATCAGATTCCTCTGCTCCTGACCAGTCATACTTTGAGGGGATGTCCAGCACTTTTTTCTCTCTCTTCTTTTCAGTATTCTCTTTGACAAGTTCAACTTTGGCTGCAGCAGCCTTCTCCTTCTTTTTCTTTCTCTCTTCTTCTTTTGCTAATTTCTTGGCCAGTTTGTTCAGCTCCTTTGATTTTTCTGCACTTAATTTTAATTTCTTCTTTTTAGGTTTATCCATTTTCTTTAACTCCTTGGACTTCTGTTTTCCTTCTCCAAAAAGCTGTTCTACTTTTTCTAGCTTCCGTTTCCGTTTTTTCTCTGAAGAGTCCTTTCCTTTTATTTTTAATGGTTTCTCTTCCATGCTGTCATCCTTTAAAAATATAAAATTAGAAAACAATTTTAAAGCAAGACATTTTAAAGTTTTATTCTCTTACATGAGGTATCTTGAACAGTCAAATACATAGAGACAGAGAGGGTATAACAGAGGTTCCTAGGAGACTGGGGGGAGGAAGAAATGTGATTTATTGTTCAATGGGTACAGAGTTTCTGTTTGGCATGTTTAAAAACTTGTGGAAATAGATAGTGGTAATCATTGCATAACATTCTGAATGTAATTAACAAAAATGGATGGTATACTTAAAAGGATTAAATGGTAAATTTTGTGTTGTATACACTGTATCACAATAAATATTCTAAAGAACAGTATATTAAAAGGGTTAAAATGGTAAACTTTGTGTTGTGTACACTATATCACAATAAATATTCTCAAGATAGTTAAAAGACATTTTAAGAAGGCAAATGTAATATTCAACAAAGATAACTCAACAGTAGATAATAAGGGCAAGCCCTAAATAAGATATGTCATTTATTTCTAGCTTGCTAAGTGGAAAGGAGGCAAAAAAAAAAAAAATCATTGCTAGCATATATTAATATAACCTGTAGTACCTCTGTATAATTAAGATGAAAACATACACAGAAAGCTAAATGTACTAACTGTACACTAAATTATGTAATAACTTTTTTGGTCTTCATTTACCACTACTAAAGTACTTTATTAACTCAGTAAATTCTTAGTGGTTAAGATTCTTAGTGGTTAAGAAGTTATTTAAAATGTTATCAAAACATATAAAATTGTATCCATGATCTCATTATAGTATAGATATGTAGTGACTTTCGCAAGGGCTAGAAAACAGTTGATGTGACAAAGCAAAACATTTTTATCATTTTTCTTTTCAACTTTCTAATATTGTTGCTATTACGTGCCAATGTAATGAACATTAAAAATTTTAATAGTCGAGGAATGTCTAGTAACAGAAAGAACATGGAGAAGGTAGAAAAAGAAATACCGAAAAATCTAAGCATGATAAATTCTTAGGAAATAACACCTGAGAATTCATTTTTCCACAGGTTTGAGACTGGAAACTCTGACAAGAACCTAAGAATCCGCAGAATCCGAAAAAGCACTGCATTATAAANAACGAAAATAATTTTATGGTTGGGGGTCACCACAACATGAGGAACTGTATTAAGGGGTCGCGGCATTAGGAAGGTTGAGAACCACTGCCTTAGAGCACGTAATTGCACTGGAAATAAAGAAAGCCTGGTGATTTATTGATAGTCTAACTTAGTCACCCAAATTGAGCTTTTGTTATTTTGACATTCAATCTCCTTTGTACCAAGGTTCCTTGCAAAAGTCAGATTTGAAAAATTAAAACAATTTGTTTAACGAAATACAACATAACATATGTTCAGAATCCTTGTATTTTTTGGTGATCTCAGCAAAGTGGCCAACCCTCTCAGTCTGCCCAAGGCCGATGGGTTTCTCAAAACACAGAATTTTGGTGCTAAAACTTAGAACGTCTCAGCATGTTAGAAAAGTTGGTTACCACCCCATCTCAACATCAGCACAGTTTGTGTGTGCACCTGTGTGTTACACTCATTTAGGTAATCCAGCCTTTGATTATCTGTGCTAAAAGGAGATAAGAGCTGATAAAGCCAATGATAATGCAAATAGTTTGGCTGAGACAGCACCTCACAAAAATCTTTGTAAATCAGAGTGACTAACAAATAGTAAAAGTGAGAGACAGCAGTTTATCTACTTAATCTCTCTTTATTTACCATTTCAAACTTCTTGTGGAAATCGTAATGGGTAAGGGAAAGGCCCACAAGAAGAGGGTATAAAAGGTAAAGGAAAAAAAGCCTATTTTAATAAATAAGATGATTAAATGTTTATTCTAATAAATAAAAAAAAGTTACTTGAATATTAACTTGAAAGAATCTGCTCCTTGGCCACCCCCAGGGCGCCTCCTCAGCCCCTCTCCCAGTTCACAGTGAAACTCCTTCCAGAGTGGGTTGGAGGCAGAACAACTGTTCACACTAGCGCCCTTTTCACCCAGCCCTAGGGATCCCCCCGGCAACTCCCTCCACCTTTGATTAGAATATATACTGTGAAGGGGTTGGGGGGCTTAGCCAGTGCCCTGACCTCTAGCACAGCCCTACCCCTCCAATCTGAGCTGGAGATGGTCTGTGTCCATCATGGGGGAGGGGGATTAGCACCACCCCCCTGACACCCTCCGCCTGACCAGACCGGCTACAGGTGTAGGGCAGAGCTGGGAAGATCCACCCCAACCTCTGCTTGGCTTGCCCCAGGGGGACCCCAACATCCCAGCCACCCCCATCATGGTGCTACAGGCCCTGCCCTGAGGCCCACACGCCCCTCGCCAGGAAGCTCTATATCAATAAAGTTCTGTCTTGTGTAGAAAAAAAAAATGCTCCTTCAAGTTAACTTGTTTTATTCTTAGTACCAATAAGACTGAATTAAAGAGGGCCAGCCGAGTGGCTCAGTTGGTTAAGAATTGGCTTGAGAGAGCAAGCTCTGAGCAACAGGGCTGCCAGTTCGATTCCCACATGGGTCAGTGACGCTGCGCCGAAGCTGAGCTGCCAACATGTGGCAGGATGGCTCAGCTGGTGTAACAAGATTGCCTGCATGGAGGGCTACGCCTACCCTCAACTAAGACTGAACTCAGCACCTTGACCTTAGAGGCCACAAGCTGCCGCCAGGCAGCCAGATGGCAACTGACGCCCTCCACATCGAAAACTGAAGAACAACAACTTGGCTGATCTCCTTCCCCAATTCCCCAATACTGTTCCCCTCCCCCATTCCCCAATAAAAATTTTTTTAAAAAAAATTGAATGAAAGAGGCAGCGTTTAGAGAGAAAAAGATTGTGAACCTTAAAACTAATTTTTTAAACCAAGTTTTTCATTATTATTTTTAAAGTTAATTTCAGGTTGAAGTTAATGTGACGATGGGAGTGATAGTTTTTTTAAAAAACCTTTTACAGTATTCTGATAATATTTTTCTTTTCTCTTTCTAAGACATTTTGAAGTTGAGGCTAGGTAACATTTAGGTAATCCTTCAAAGTTTTCTCAATCTGCATTTTGGGAGAAAAGTTAATAGTAATTATTGGTTAGAAAAATGGAAAATGTCCATTTACCTAAATATGAAAGAACCCTAGAAGTTATTTTTTGCTGTTATTTTAAAGAACACAGACTTCCCAAAAAAATATTCTTTTCTTGTCATCATTTTGTTCAGAAGATGTGTGCCATGCATTAATTTGGTTTTCTTAGAGAAAGAAACACTGTACTTCAAATTGAAAAAGTTGTAAAATTCTCTACAAAGCTTTTAAAAATTGTAAAACAGTAGTGATGAACAAAATGTTTAAAATCTAAAATAATTTGTTTAAAGTTAAACACATTATAGAAATATAACATTTACTAAGTTTCTTTTATGTAAGCTAATGACAGGTTAAGGCTCACATTGCTTACCTTTATATGTGTCTTAACAGTTTAAAATAGATATTTTCCCTACATAGTTAAATCTTTTGCTCCATCAAAATGAGATAACTTTCTAGAGTTTTAAAACAATAATCATCTATAATGTTAGGAGCAAATCTCAGGGCTCATTTAAAAATAATTATCACATCTTAGCACTTACATTGCATTTTTGGTTAACAAGTGCTTTCATATAGATTATTTCATCTGTTCTCATAGCCCCACGAGTAAGCAAGGCACAGGTTAATTTAACAACTTTATAGCAGATCAGAAAAAAAAACTGCCTGTAGTGTTTATATACTACAGGAAGATAATAACGGGGATAATAGATGAACTAAACCATATTTAAAATTCTGAGCAGAGAGGGAAGAGATTAAGTGAAAAGGAGAAAAAACAGAAGGGAAAAGGATCATGATGGTTTATAAACACTGTAAGAAAGATAAGAAGAAAGCCTGAAAAAGAAACATTTTGCTGAGTGCTGAAAGTACCATAAAATTAATTAAAGGAGAAAGAAAAGAGAGAAGGGGTCGGCCAAGTGGTGTATTGGTTAAGAGCTGGCTTGGGATGCCAGAGGGCCCCAATTCAGATCCCACATAAGAGGGCCAGTGACACTACCCTCTACAGCTAAGATGCTGAACAACAGCTCAACCCTAAGCTGGGCTGCCATGAGTCGCCGGCTACTACGTAGGCTGCAGCCCCTGTGGCAGTGGGTTGCCATGGGCTACCGTGTGTAGCCAGCAGCCACTGTGAGCGGCCGTCCAGAAGCCGGCAACTGATCTGCCTCGCCCGGAAAGAGCACAATGAAGGTGCCAACTTGGGCCAGTGAAACAACGTCCTCCACAACTAGACTGAAGAACAAAAGGACAGCAACTTGTCTGTTCCCCTTCCCCCAATTCCCCAATAAA